TCCCCATGAGCATGAACTCATCTGGCACACGCCAGCTGGTGTTGAGGTGCAGCCTGGCACCATGGCGTTAGTAAGACAAGATGGCTACAAACATCACGGCCGCACCATTAGACTTGCCCAGGTGGGAGTGGCAGTGGAGTCTCAGAAGAGACTATGAACAGGCTGACAGGAACAGAATATTCTCCCAGGGTGCAGTCACCTGTGTTTCCTTTATTTATTAATCTAGGTTTGTATTGTACATAAGGTACTTCATGTGATCTCTTTTGGATATAGTCATATTGGCTTTATTTCTAAGATATTCTGTTGATTTTATGTGACCCGTTTGGTCTCATCAGAAGTCTTTACCATCTGGCATTTGAACAATGTGACAAATGTTCCTATGGCCTTTATCAAAATATGTTTATGAAAATTATTTTTAAATTGGTACTCTGATTGACTTTGAATCCAAAATTCTCTTAACTATGTTTCTTCAGCTAATCATTGAAATTAGTACAATATCATGTATTTTGTGGAAAAAGACAGTAGAGATTGAGTCAACATGTGGGTATTTAGATGATAAAGCTTTACACGTATATAACCAAAAAATATATATCTTAGCCCAATTGACACAATCAGTATCAAACATAGCTTAGAAAATGACAGTTTGAGGTAGCTGTTAATCTGTCACCTTTAACCACGTGAACTAGGTCAAAATCTAGGGCCAGCCCAAAATATGTTTGTAGTAAGTAAACCCTTCAATATGGCAAATTTATCCTTCAGGATAAGATTTAGCAGGGGTTGGAGAGGAAGGGATAGAGAAATAGAGGGAGAAGGAAAGGTTAGAGTTGAGGCTAGAGAACACAAGAAGATCACGCAAATTGTGGGGATCTGTTGAATACAGGAAGAGCGAAAGAACAGAGACAAGTACAGAACAGACTGACAATAATAGGGTAGCTAGAATTTGTATTCACCTTCCTATAAAAGTGACAGTTGAGAGGACAGAGAGAGAGAGAAAAAAATTCAGAATGGGACAGGAACAGGAACAAAGAGGGAGAGAAATATAGAGCCAGAAGTGATAGAGAGAGAGAGAAAGAAAAGAAAAAAAATATGTATATGAAACAAAACAAACAAACAAAAAAATGTTTCCCTCAGGATATGTCTCTGCTGTCCTGGTAGGCAATGTGGGCAGCTGTGTGTGGGTCTAAGTCGATTAGTCTCAGCAAGCCAGCTGTAGACTACTGAGATTCAGGCTGAATTCTGGCTGCAAGGTCCAAGTTGAGGTCCCTGACCTCCTGTAGGATTAAACTCTGCAAGGTCATACTGCAGGTTCCAGCTGTCCTCCCCCTTTTGTGAGTCCTGGTTTCTATCGGGGGTGGTGATCCCACCAACTTACCAACCATGATGGTTCAGTGTGCTTTTATTGAAGAGTTTTTCTTCACTTTCCCAGTGGGCTTCAATTTTTATTGAGGAGTGTCAGAAAGACCTTCTCTGTTGTTCACTTCTGCTCTATCTTATGGGGCTCATACCCATGGCCTTTATGTTACCCCTGGCACCTCTGCTGTGCGGATTCAGATGCGATGTGGCATCTGTGCCACGTGATCCAGCGGGGCATGGGCTACTGGTGTCCGCTCGACCAGGGTCTCCCCAAACAACTTATATATCCATATATGTAGAGAATAGGGAAATGGGACATTACCAAAATCCCTGCAGTGGGTCCTGGTCTCCTGTGAGCCATGACAGCACAAGGTGAATTAAAGAATAAAGACAGGAAACAAGACTTAGACAAGAGCTGAGCTTTGGGCCTGATCAGTGCTGCTCTGGGCAACACAGTTTGCCCAAGGCACACCAAGCTTACCACTATTTATTGGGTTCATAGAGAGTATCAGATGACTCAGAGGGCAGCAATAATCCTAAATTAACAAGGATCTTATAATCCTTATAATCAGAGGCAGTATCAGATGACTCAGGAGGGTGGTAGTAATACTATGACCATGAGGATCTTATGCTGATGTGGATCTTAGGTCGATGAGAAGCTTAAGTTGATTAGGATGGTTAGATGAGCAAAACATTCTTACAGCAGTAGGTGGGATGAGTTAAACTGGTAAGGAATTTGTTGTTCCCCAGGTGAAACCTTTCTACATGGTTCTCAAAGACCTAGGATGTCTTCAGCTGATGTAATCTTGCCCTTGAGCATCACAGCATCACAGAACTACTGAGGCCTCAGACAGCCCTAATCATAATTTAATTGTGAAATGCCCCCGCCATTATGTAGAATGGCTCCTGACACATATATATTACACATACATATATGTACATAGTACATAGTTCACTCTTTCCAGTGTTTTATTTTGTCAACTACAGTCCAAAAACACTGACTGGAAAATTCCAGAAATAAATAATTCATACATTTTAAAATTACATGGTATTGTGAGTAGTGTGATGAAATCTTGTACCATTCGGCTGCATCTTACCCAGGATTTACCACCACTTTGTCCAGTGCATCCACTTTGTATAAGCTTCCCGCCCACTGCTCATTTGTTTGCCAGATTGACTGTCTTGGAAGGGCAGGACTTGTGTTCATCTAATACTCATTTCACTGAATAGATACCACAAAGCACAAGAGGAGTGATGTTGGTAATCCAGATATGCTGAGGAAAACCCATAAAGTACTTCCTTTATATGAAAAGGTGAAAGTTCTGGACTTAATATGAAAAGAAAAGAAGTTCATGTGCTGAGGGTCATAAGTTCTATAGTACAGTAAGATATTTTGAGAGAAAGAGAAACCACATTTACATAAATTTTATTATAGTGTGTTGTTTAATTGTTCTATTTTATTAGCTATTATTGTTAATCTCTTACTGTGCTTAATTATGAATTAAACTTTATCATAAGCACGTATGTATAGCAAAAAACACATACGAGGTTTAGTACTATCTGGTTTCAGGTTCCATTGGGAGTCTTGGAACGTGTGTCCTGTGGAGAGGAAAGACTACCATACCAAGCACTTAGCTATCCTAAGCACTCAATGTGTGCTTAACTATAATCAGATTATCAACATTATTATTGTTAGTTCGTTCTTCGAGAACCTAAGCAAGTCATCTTGCCCAGCTCCTTGCCAGTATTCATTGATACCTCTCATCCATGCCAGTGCTTTCCAAAGCTACCCAGTAGGGACCAGTAGGTTTGTGTGCTTTGCAGTGCACAGCCAACCAGGAAGTGCTGGGCTACAGGTCAGGTGGCAAGAATTCCCTGCTTTTTATTGCCCAAGCAACCACTGGCAACAGCTCTGCTCCTCCGCTCGCTCATCCCTATTGTGTCCTACCTGTTCAGTAGATAGACCCAGTTGGTGACCATCCTTTCCCCGGTCCCCACTGCCTCTCATAAATAAAGAAAATTATATTTCTGAAATGAGTTTCATGAGGACCAAATCTTAAAATTAGTTATTATATAAAATCAAACTAAAGAAGCCAATAAAAAACACTAATTTGGGAGCATAAAATATCCTTGGATGGTTTCTACTTTACCTTTCTGCCTTGGCCCCCGCTTCCATGTTAGAATATAAATGGTTGGCTTATCTCATTTCCTATCTGTATGAAATCCTTAGTGGAAATTATGCTAATGTAGTTTCTATTGCAGTCTTAGCGGAAATTAAAGTGTAGTTTCTTGGGTTCAGAGGGTATTTTTCTGAAATGTCATTAATGGTGCACAGAATGGGCAATTTTATAAAATCCCATATTGTATAAATTTTGTTCTTTATCAAGCAAATAAGAATGTGGTGATTACTGTTATTGATATATTTATCTATTTTACTGTTTAGAAATATAAATATGTATTTATATTTATAAATATCATATATTTATCTATATTTTATTAATATATTGATATATTAACAAAATGTTAGTCTTGTTTCCCATCTACTTTTGTGGATATAGTTATATGAACCAAGAATTCTCTTGTTGGTATAACTTTTCTTTAAATGGAAGCAACCAAAATAACAAAGACAGCATTAACATACACACATAATTTTTATTTTCCATTCTACTGGCTGAATTCTTTCAGACTTTTATCCTGTGGATGATTCAAAACTTCCTGGCTAATGCAGCATCTCCTGCCACTTTTGGTCACAATCACTCTCATTACCTGTTCTGTCACATCTCCAGACTTGCAGAAACCCTAAGATAAGAGGACCTAATAAGAGAACCACTGCGGCCCAAAGATAGCCTTCTGCTCTTTGCATTGTCTCTCTCCGTGACTGAACCCAGGGGCTTGTGTGTGGTAACCAAGTGCTCTACCACTGAGCAACACCCCAGCCCTTTAAACAGATTCTTCACAGTGGCAAATGGATTGTTACTTAACACATGACAACTTTCTAGTAAATCAATTAATGACCTGTTCTTTTGATGGTATCAAGAAATGCAATTGCAATTATAGAACCCTTGAAAAATGCCATAGATCTTTTTTGGAGTCCAGGAATTTTCCCCAGCTCCCCACAGTACATCTGTATGAAACCTGCACAGCAGTGCTACTTCCTGTCAAAACTCTGTCCTTCAACCTCACCACTCTGCTACCCAGGTAGCTGTGAGCCCACAGGCCCTCACCTCCCTCGTGCTGGCTACATTAGGCCTCCTCAAGACAGCTGGAATATCCACTCACTCTGTGTCCATCCCCTCACGTCAGTATCTCCTTCCCCTTTCCAACAGAGATAAAAAATACCCTTAAGGAAATGAAGTTCTTCTGTAGCCCTGACTGCTTCTCTTCTAAGGAGCATTTCTAGTGAAAATAATTTTTCACTTCATTACATGTGAAAAGATGTAGACATTTTTGTTTTCAAGGAGGTTACTTTCATAGAAGCTTCTCTTGACAGAGCCCTTTTCGTTAGTTTGTTCACTTTATTCTGCCTGTTGTCCATCACCTGTGGAAACTCATGAGATTTAGTGACTCTGAGACACTTGGGGTGTGACCAGCCTTGTGGGTTTGTGTTTGCTGTTGCTGCTTTCACTGAGGTGTGTTTAAATGCCCAGGGAGAAGTGCTGCAAATAGCTGCCAACCAGTGCTGCCCGGAGTGTGTGTCAAGGACCCCTGGATCTTGTCACCATGAAGAGAAAATCCACGAGGTAAGTATTGTATTTTGTGACCCAGCATTGTTTATCTGTAGATCATGAAGGGGAGATAGCTGAATATTAAGCTTGAGTTAATGAGAGACATTTTTTTTTTTTTGCTCTGAGTATACACATTTAGGTATCTTGAGTAAGATGAAAACTGTCTTATTTATTTCATAGGCCCTACATAAATATTTGTGGATTGAATTTCTGTCTGTCTAAAGCATAGTCTGAGATTGTTGATGTGAAAGAAGTTGTGGTATTGAGTGATGAAAGTACTCTCTTCCTTTGGAGTAGTACATATCGTTTTTCATTTGATAGTTATAAACAACCTTGAGCTTATGAGGAGATAGTACTCCCATGCTAAGGATAAAAAAAAAATTGAATTGCAAAGGGTTTAAGGTACTTGCCAGTGTTGTATTACTAAGTAGTGGTCTAACTTGGCCTAGATCCTTGGTCTTTTGATTTTAGTTCAAGCTCTTTCTATTAGGATGGAGTTTCTACATTTCAGTACTGTGGACCCTTTAGGCTGTTCTGTGCACAGAAGGATGTGTAGCAGCCTCCCTGGCCTCCACCAGCTGGGTGCCTCAAGCAACCTTCAGTCATGACAGCCAGAAATATCTGCAGGATTGGCCATGTTTTCCCTAGGTGCAAAATACTTATGCACTACCTTTCCCGTGCCTGTTAAGAACTACAGACTGGAAATCGATCCTAAAGTTTTTTCTTAATTGTATTTTCTCTTTCCAGATCTTCTAGGATTAATTTAGAGATATTAAGTATCGATCTAAAAGTTTATAGTAGAAATGATGAAAATAATCCATTTCCAGTCGTACTTAAATGCTGTCCTGTGGCAACAGGTAAAGGTGAATGTGATAGAGCAAGGCTCTTTGCTGCGATCCTCAGCTCCCACCTGATACTCCAAGTTAGTGTCTTCACCTGCTCAGGAGAAAGCATCATTGGCAGGGTTCACTGTCCACTCTAGGCTGCTGTTCTGTGTGTGCCCAAAGCTCAGTGAGTGCAGTGCCTATTTCCCTGAAAGACCAGCTCATCTGCTTTGAGTCACGGTCTCCTAATTACGTGAGGAAGCCGCTCTTTCTCTTCTGTACAATGAGTTGCTGAAAGACACCCAAGCAGGATCTATGTTGGGAAGGTCTGCATGCCACCTGTCACTGTGAACTCCTTGATAAGTCTGTTCAGTAGGGTGATGTCACTTTTGACTGACACAGAAGAAGGATCCTGGTGAAATGGAGTTGACTCTGGGGCTGATGGGTGGTAGAAATAATGCCAGCTCATAATGATTGGAACAGCTGTATGGTTCCAGGTGAAAAACACCATGCTGAATCTTTTAAATGAAGGAGGTGTTCAGAGCCAAAATAAATTCAATCTAGGGAGAAAAAAACAGACATTTCAAAAAAATTTGGTACCAGGAACATGTGCAATAAGACTTCAGTAAGTCTTCACGTGGAGCATTCTACTAACTCTGTTGTTTGCTTTCTTATGTTGTATTTGTGCATGTAAACAATCTTCTTGTCTTGATTTAAGACACTTGAGAACACTAACAATATTTTCTATATCTTTGTAATAATTTTCCATGCCTCTTATCTAACCTGGTACTTGGCACTGAACTTTTCCCAAAGTAAGTGCTCAATAAACATTGATGCATGATCTAGGTGACTCTTTCTGTACCTTTTCCATGTCTTCATCTTAAAGGCATGCTGGCCATTGACCTGGGGATTTGTAAAACCACAGATCTGCACAGGTTTGTTAGAAATCCCTTTGCCTCCTGCTTTTGCTGGGAGTATTCAGAAAGTCCCCTCTGGGTGGTCCTTTTCTCTGCCTGCCTTCCAGTTCCCCTCTTCTGCATTAATCTGTCAAGCAATGAAACAAGCTCTAAACTGAGTAAAAACAGGCCTATGTATTGTTTTTCTCATGCACTTTTAACATTTATTCCCTCAGAAAATGTAATTATATTTCTGGTACTTGGTGTAACTGAGGAAAAGGCTGAATTTTGACAAGTGTAGCTTTTGGAGGAGCTCTCTGGTGGTCTGCCTCTTCAAATAGAGCTGGAGATTGATTGTTTTGAGGTGAAACCAAATCTTCTCATTTTAAACTTAAATTAAAATTCTTATGGTCTTTGTCTTCCTGTCCTTCCTTCCTCTCTTTCATAACATCCCCAGGTGCTCATCAGTTCCCTCTTGGTATTCATTTTCTTGAGTGGTTTGAGAACTTTTCTGGTTTGGACTGACTCCTGCCTTTTCCTTTGCATCGCTAGGTTTTTCTATTGAGTCTTTCAACCTTTTCTTTTTTGCTTTTTCAGCTTGTTTGAGAAGCAGTTTCTAGGGCACATCCCACACCCGCAACAGCATTCACCCTCTCTCTGGCCTGTGGCTCCTATCCCACAGGGAAGGTTGGAAAAGTTCCCCCCATAGCTGTGAAGTAACTGGCTGTGGTGGTGGGGGGAATTGAAGGGGCCTGAAGAGGAAGTTTGGCCCTAAAGGACAGACTTGGCAGAGGCTTGGGTGTGGCCAGAGAGGACTCAACTGATGTAATCCTGGAAAGTCAAAGATATGATGAGCTCACATACCATAAACAGCTGTAGCATTTAGTCCAATACTTTTTCTCCAACTAGTGACAGGATCATATGGCTTTTTCCTTTCCTCTGTTAAAATGATGACTTTTGGGGGTGTATCTTCCAATGCTGAACCAACACTGCCATCCCTATAACAAAACCACTTTCTACATACTGCCAGATCTAACTTCTAATAGTTTGTTTGTTAAACAAATTTTTATCTATGTTCATACATTTTTCTTCTATTATCTTTATCCAGTTTTAGTATTAGCTCAATACTGATTTCCTAAAATGAGGGGAGAAGTGTTCTTCTTTTTTCTGCTTTAAATGTTTGATGTAATTTATCAGTTAAAATGTATATGAGCCTGCTTTTGTCATATAGGTAATTTTTCAAGCTAGGAATATACTTTCTTTAATAGGTGCTATTCAAATTTTATATTTCCTCCGGAGTTAGTTTCATTAATTTTTCTTCCAGGGTACTTCTTAGCAGTTGTCAAATTTATTTCAAAAAAGATTTTTGTAATATGCTTTCTATATCCTTTTAAATTCTGTAAAATCTGTGGTAATGTCTCCTAGATCTTGATATTGTAATTTAAAACATGTATAATTGATATTGTGTAATAGGAAGAAAATGTCTAAAAGAGTAGGAGAAGTGGGCAGGGTAGGGGAAAGGAAAGAAGGGAAAAGAAAAAATATGAGAAAAGGAAAAAAATGGAAACAAAGTATTTGCAAATAGGGAAGGGTGGGTAGGAGAAGGGGGAAAAAATAAGAACCAAGATACTCATGGAATGGTACAAGATCCCAATGATGAATGTAACTGTATTTTATACCAAAAATGAACCAATAAACTTAATGGGGGAACAAAAAAAGAGATATAGAGCCAGCTTGGAGGCTCTGCCAATAAAGAAGTTTGGGAATCAAGATAAATAATAGGATAACTTGAGCATCAAAATAAATAAGGAAGTAATTTTTTAAAAAGGTGTGATGAGCTCAGAGTTGCCCTTGAGTGACACACTGAGGCTTTCCAGAGGCACTTATGCTCCTTCAACCCAGAATCTTAGGCCACTGGTGACCCCTCAATCAAGACAAACCTCAGCCCCGTGTGGTGGTGCATACCTATGATTGTCAGGAGTTCAAAGCACAAAGTGAATTCAAGACCAGCCTAAACTACATAGCAAGACCCTGTCCCAAACAAAGAACAAACAAACAATCATAAGACCCATCTCAGGATCTTTCCTGAACCCGAGGAAAGCCTATGAGACTTTTGAGAGTGTTGTGTAGTTTTATTACAGACTGTTTCCTTAGGACCTTCTCAATGCTATCTTTTCCAAATCTCACTTTTGGGTCTGTGCCAACATTGCCAACCAGACAGAGAGACAAGCTTCAAATGTGTTTTTCTGAAAAGTTGTCTGAGTGCTTTTTCTTTTCCTGTCCTTTCCTCCCCACATCACCTCATGAAAAGGCAGCAAAAGGATCATTAATCCCCTTTCACCAGTTTAATCCTAACACCCAGAAATTTCAAGTCTGAAAGACAGTGAAGATTCACTGGGACAAAGGCAATGGCAGATGGTGCCCTGGTGCTGCGTGCCACTGAGTAGAGCAGGACAGGACCCTTGCTTTGCCTGTCTGTAGGCTAAGAGGAGAACTAATTCATATATGCAAGGGAAGAAGTTAATATTGAATTCTGCAGCCTTGTTCTCCTCAATGTAAAGAACATAGTTATATTCATACAACATTCTCAGATATTTAGCATTCAGGATTTATAACTTCATAACAGGAATAAATTATATGAAGAAAAATTATTTGTTGTTGTTGTTGTTGTTTTATCAGAAGCCAGGCAAATGCTTTATGACCTTATCTTCTGAGCTTATGTTAACAGCCCAGACTTGTTAGTTGGCTATGTGGAAGAATATATTTTAACATGTCTGCAGTATTTGCTTTTACCTACTGTCAAAATCTCCTGCTTTCAAAAGGGTATTAATGAGGTTAAGATGGTACAGCTAGCCTGGTCTTGGGGGAGCATTGCTTTGTGCATCTATTATTCTTTGATTTAACAAATCTCTCTTTGCTGCCACAATGTTTATTAAAAATAATGCTTTTGCAAATGGGTATGAAGAACACTAAGCAACCATTTATCTATGGATAAATAAAACTTGGCGTGTGCTGAACCCCTTGATCTCTAGGCTGAGTGCTTTGCATTCATTATCAGTCCTAAGAATACTCCAGGAAAGGAGGTGCCACTCTTTGGGGATAGGACTAGGAGATAAAAATGAAGGGGACTTCTGTGACTTGTCCCCTGGAGAGAGGTGAGGGAATAATTCACTTCCATGGTGCTGCATGCTTCAGATCTCGGAGCTGTGTCTGTGGCTTTGGCATCAAGCAGTGAAGTCTCCCTACTGAATGTTTTCTGTTAGTCTCAAAATTCCCAAGGTTACTGGATGGGAGA